AATGCTCAGGCAGGTCAGTGAGACAACCCACCCACCCCTTGATCGAAATTTGGCTAGCTCAGCTGGGACCGGCAGTATTTCAATCCATGTGTGGCCACTGCAGCTGAACAGAATTGTATCTACCAAACAGCGGCTGCAATGCTGATCTACGTATTCTGATAGCGGATGAAGGCTCCCCATTATCAGAATACAATGACGCAGTGGGGGGGATTGCCCCCATCAACATTGAATGTGTGAATCAGTACAGTTTTTTTGAACCGTGTATGGCCAGCTTTACTTCTTTCAGAAAATGAAGATCCATCAAAATAAAATCACTACTTTCAGTGCTGCTTTAAGTGGTCCTGCATTACATAAAGAGGAAACTATAAAGGAAAGGCCTCTATGATGAGACTGTGCCAATCCCTTTCCAATGGCCCATCTTCTCTCTGACACAGGTAAACAAATGTGTTGGACAAGATTCAGCTCAATGGCATATGCGCCAGTATTAAAGTTGCAATTTGTTTTAATTTCCCAGAAACCATCCCCGTTGTGTGTGGGGGGGGGGGGGGGTCTGTCCCCATGAAACGGGCGTCTGACAGTTTTTTCTGTTTGCCCCGGCATTCAAAAAAGGCACCAGCAGAGCCTTCTGTGCATGCGTGGCCATTCATGGTGCTGTACACATGCAGACCGCTTCAGCTGTTCCTTGCAAAGTCTACGGGACAGTATTAGCGACTAGTTATAGTTTAAAAAACGGTGCTGGCAGAGCACTAGCACTCTGCGTGTGTGCAGACCAGGGTGGATAAAAATGAATGATTTTTTTAAAAAAATCCAAAAAAAAAAAAAAAAAAAAAAAACGGATTTTTTTTATTTAAATGGGATTTTTTTTAATAAAATGCTTTTTGAGGAAAATATATTACCATCCAAAGGTTATTCCATCATGAAATAAAGATTCGTTTTTTAATTATGTAGAATAAGGCTGTATATGTTTAATTTTTTTGGTAAATAAATTCCATAAATCCATTCACAATGTCATGCTCTTCCAGAGGTTTCTGTAAGATTATTGGGCAGTTTCTCTGCCTACAAGATATTATCACAGATGTTCGGTTTACTTTTGCAGTTCTCAAAACTGAATTTGACTCAGCGGAGATCACATGCCTCTTCTTCACAGCAAAAATGTTATAACATGAACAGAGTTAAGAAAAAGACCTTCATCCTAACTTCTACAAACCTATGAATACAGAATCAACCCCTTCAGTGCTAAGTTTCAAGAAGTTCAGTGAATAGAATAGAAACAATATTTTTCTGATTGTTTGGAGTGGAATAGATCTGCACAAGAAGAAAGTGAAACTAAGTGTGAGGAGGAAGGGGCTGACAGTCTACGTTTCTTAAAATATATATATTTTGTTTAGCCAAATTAGTTAACAAACATGGATGTTTAAGCAAATAACATTTTTTGGAATGTTATTGTTTCAGATGAATAAATCTATTTAAATTGTTATTATTAAGGGAATGATTATTTTTCTCCTTCCTAAGTACAACAGAAAAGTTGTCCAAATATGAATGATTAACCTATTAAACTGGGGATAAAAAAACTAATATGAAAAGTTATTCTAAAAATCTTCATCTACTTGTATATTAAAGTTATACCAGCAAGAATTAGTCTTTATGTAGAAAACTAGGATTTAAATCAAGCCTTACTGACTAGTGATTTAAATCGTGATTTTAATCAGTTTGATGTAAATCAAATCCACCCTGGTGCAGACATCTATGCTACCAAGCACACCGTTCCAGCGGTGGCGTTTTAGAATTTGGTGAGTACTTACTGGAGCCTGTGCACTGCAACTTTATTCTACCAGGCAGCTCCCAGGGTGATGCAGCAAGCATGACTAACTACTGCTGACATGATCCCTGCTACTCCTCTGAACAAGTGTGTTACCCAATACTAACCCTTGAACTGTGTGTGTTACTTAATGATTGAGTAACACACAGAATTCAGAGATAAGGATTAAGTAACACACAGAGTTCAGGGGTCAGGATAAAGTCTGTGCGTTACTTAGTCCTGACCCTTCACACTTGACCCTTAGCAGCATAGGTTCAGGTTTAACTTATTTGTCCCAATTTAAAGTGGAGTTCCACTCACGTTGTCAAAAAATAAAAGTCAAAAACTGTAGCTGATGACTTTTAAAAAACAGCCACTTACCTGTCCCTCGGTCCCATGGTGTGTCCCCCGCAGATCGTTTCACCGGCCGTCCTGTTTTCCAGGAGGTCGGCATCCGGCTGTGACAGCTTGCAGCTTCACAGCCGGGTACCCACTGCTCATGCGCGAGTAGCGCTGCACTTCATGAATGGTCCTGTAGCCTTCTGGGACCTGTCATATGTCCCAAAAGACTACAGGCAGGGAGGACACCTTCAGTTTCTGATTGCCTAGGCCAGGGGTAGGCAACCTGCGGCTCTCCAGCTGTTGCAGGACTACAAGTTCCATCATGCCTCTGCAAGTCATAGCTGTAACTGTCAATTTTGCAATGTCTCATGGGAAATGTAGTTCCCCAACAGCTAGCCGCAGGTTGCCTACCCTGGCCTAGGCGATCAGACCAGAAGTGGGTACCTGTCAAATTCGGGTACCCGCTCCACCCCACCCCCCAAAAGGGGGGGGGGTCCTTAAAGAAGAACTTCCCCTTTTGAGTGGCGCTCCGCTTTAAGCCCTACCCACTGTTACAATTTAAAAGGGCTGTCTGCAGGGGCTCTCCTCCCCCACTTCATGCTTCCATAGTCTTTGAGGCAGCGGGAGCCATTTGCTCCTGCTGCTGTCAATCAAGGCCAGTGAAGAGGGAGTGTGGGTTGGGGCTCAGCTACTCTGTCTATAGATGCAGGTAGTGGGGCTCGGGAGCAGGCCTACATAAGTGCCCCCATAGCAATCTGCTTGCACTCACAGGTAAGTGTAAACAGGTTATTTTAAAAAAAAAAAAAAAAAAAAAAAAAAAAAAAAAAAAAAAAAAAAGAAGAGGGGTGGGTGGGGGGGGACTAAAACAAGTTTTAGATGTATTGGTTTCAGCTGTCAAAGGAGGTGGTCATGATTTCAACCTACCAAACTAAGCTAAAGCGACTTAACAACAATAGTCATTTCCAAAACTATAGATCCACGTTACAAATGACCACCAAAGAACAGACAGAATAGTTAAAAGTGGTATGAAACCCAAAAAGCAAGCATTTATTATATTGCAGCTTAAAATTTCTTACATGTAATGTCTGTATTCATTTTAGGCTCTTTCTTCTATTTTCATCTGGTGACCCAGCCAGCAAGTCTGTTGCTTTTCAAAAGAACAAGCTGTCAAGCAGATGGTATGAGCTACATTGATGAGACAAGCCATTTTACACTGGCAGGGGTGCTTACAATGATCAGCGTTTCTGTAAAACCTTTGTAAGCAGTTACAGCAGGTTTTTTTTCTTTTGGGATAAAATGTGAGCTGGAGCTTGGCTTCAATTTGTTAGTGTATTTAAAGTGGAATATTGTCTTGCACATCTGGTGGTCATGCCCGAGACTGTTTCGTTTTTGGTCTCGTGTGTTTGGCCTCCTTTTCACCTTGTTCCATCTCTCCATACCCCGGGATGCTCGGTATGCCTTGCTTCATTGCCCCATACCAGGCCTCTTGGCTCACCAGCAGAAGTTGGCTTCTTATTTGTTTTTTTATCGGCCACTAGAACAATTGCCCAGGCCTGGAAGAGTCCGTTTGTCCCTCTTCAGGGGGTGCGGGATCGTATGACTACTATGATGCTCAACGAGCAGATGTCGAGTATCCGCAACGACTCCCACCGTAAATTTTTTAAAATATGGGAGCCGTGGTTGCAATATGCCTTTCCCTCACTCCCCCCCGGCTAGCCTGGGGATGTAATGGCGTTTGGTATTGGCGCTCTTGGACCCCTGCTCTTTGCCCCCCCCTTTTTTTTTTTCTTTCCCCTTTCTCTCTCTGTTTTTGGTGTGACTGGACAGCTGCCTTTAGTTGTTAGAGTCAGTTGCATTAATGTTTTGTACCTTATGTGCCATTGATAGCCCCTGCGTGGGCGTACCTTTTGCCCTGTTGGCATTAGAGCACTGTTTTCCTTTTATTTTGCTTTTTTTTTTCTGTGCAATTGATAGCCCCTGTGTGGGTGAGTTTTATTGCCTCTGTTTTATAATGTTTAAAAATAAAAACCATTGGAATATAAAGTGGAATATTAGGCTGTGAATTGAAAATTCAGGATTGTTAATTGAAGAGACATGCTTGGTCTCTTCCGCATTAAAGCTTCTTACCCGCCTGTCCGCCTCTGTCCAGTAAGCTACACAGGTGCAGCCCACTGCATATATTCGACAATGTGCAGGAGGGACGTCACCTCCACCTGGTCAATGACAGCAGCCAGTGCTTGAGACCCGGAAACAGGGAGTTCCAGGGATGGCGCATTGCTGGATTCAGGGTGACTAGAATTCTTCTTTGAGGCTAGGTTCACATCTGTGTGGGTGGTGCCGCTGTGGATCCGCACAAAAATCCGTGCAGCCGCAACACCTGCACAGAGGAATGCGAACCTGCGGGCGGGTGACATTAGTTCTAATGGCGCGCCACCCGCACTGGAAAACGCAGCCGTACTGGGAACCGAGGATCCCGTGCAGGCTGCGTTTTCAAAAGTGCAGGGACTACTTCTGTGCATGTCACAAGGCACCGGAGTCCATTCAAATGAACGGGCTCTCATGCCTCTGCAAAACGCGGCCCGCACGGCCGCATATATGTGAACCCGGGGTAAATCTGCTAGTGCATTTGACACTACCCTCCCCCCCAGACTGACATTGCTACTATCCAAAAGGTGCCCCTGAGTTCCTTCATAAAGAGTGGGGGCATGTGAATACAGGAGGTGTATTACTGGCCAGATCACCAGGTGAAAACAGAGGGAGAAAAAGCTAAAAATAGAAAACTAATGCAAACACCACATCCAAGCTGCAATACATTACATTTCTGGTTTGGGGACAATAAACCGGGGTGCAGCCATCTTACCAAACTCATCTTCCATTGCCATGATTATTTCAACTTGGTCCAAACTATCCAGTCCCAGGTCTTTCATGAAATGGGAGTTGACGGTGAGCTGGAAGAAGCATAATGAACATCCAGTATTTTAGGTTTATGCACCACTAAAACGTTATGTATGTGCATTTAGGACAAAGTAATACTACCGCAAAATTCAGATAAACAATTAGACCTGCTACTTGTAACTCCAGGGAATTAGAGATGTATTTAAACACTACACAATTATTAGTGGACAAAGACAATCCAGAGATTACAAATTCCTGACCTGTCTGATGTGTTCCTTGGCCTTCATGATGCCGTTTGTTCACAAATGTTCCCAAACAAACCTCTGAGGGCTTCACAGAACAGTTGTATCTACAGTGGGGATCGAAAGTTTGGGCACCCCAGCTAAAAATTTGTATTAATGTGCATAAAGAAGCCAAGGAAAGATGGAAAAATCTCCAAAAGGCATCAAATTACAGATTAGACATTCTTATAATATGTCAACAAAAGTTAGATTTTATTTCCATCTTTTACTTTCAAAATAACAGAAAACAAAAAAATGGCGTCTGCAAATGTTTGGGCACCCTGCAGAATTTATAGCATGCACTGCCCCCTTTGCAAAGCTGAGACCTGCCAGTGTCATGGATTGTTCTCAATCATCGTCTGGGAAGACCAGGTGATGTCAATCTCAAAGGTTTTAAATGCCCAGACTCATCTGACCTTGCCCCAACAATCAGCACCATGGGTTCTTCTAAGCAATTGTCTAGAAAACTGAAACTGAAAATAGTTGACGCTCACAAAGCTGGAGAAGGCTACAAGAAGATAGCAAAGCGTTTTCAGATGTCAATATCCTCTGTTCGGAATGTAATTAAGAAATGGCAGTCATCAGGAACAGTGGAAGTTAAAGCAAGATCTGGAAGACCAAGAAAAATATCAGACAGAACAGCTCGCAGGATTGTGAGAAAAACAATTCAAAACCCACGTTTGACTGCACGATCCCTCCAGAAAGATCTGGCAGACACTGGAGTTGTGGTACACTATTCCACTATAAAGAGATACTTGTACAAATATGGTCTTCATGGAAGAGTCATCAGAAGAAAACCTCTTCTACGTCCTCACCACAAAAATCATCGTTTGAACTTTGCAAATGAACATATATAGACAAGGCTGATGCATTTTGGAAACAAGTTCTGTGGACCGATGAGGTTAAAATTGAACTTTTTGGCCAGAATGAGCAAAGGTACGTTTGGAGAAGAAGGGGCACAGAATTTAATGAAAAGAACCTCTGTCCAACTGTTAAGCATGGAGTTGGATCAATCATACTTTGGGGTTGTGTTGCAGCCAGTGGCACAGGGAACATCTCACGAAGGAAAAATGGATTCAATAAAATTTCAGCAAATTTTGGATGGTAACTTGATGCCATCTGTGAAAAAGCTGAAGTTAAAGAGAGGATGGCTTCTACAAATGGATAATGATCCTAAACACACCTCGAAATCCACGAGGGATTACATCAAGAGGCTTAAACTGATACCTCAAACAAGAATTGAAAGACTCTTGGCTAGCTACAAAAAGCGTTTACAAGCTGTGATACTTGCCAAAGGGGGCAGTACAAGATATTAACTCTGCAGGGTGCCCAAACTTTTGCAGATGCCATTTTTTTGTTTTCTGTTATTTTGAAAGTGTAAATGATGGAAATAAAATCTAACTTTTGTTGACATATTATAAGAATGTCTAATCTGTAATTTGATGCCTTTTGGAGATTTTTCCATCTTTCCTTGGCTTCTTTATGCACATTAATACAAATTTTTAGCTGGGGTGCCCAAACTTTCGATCCCCACTGTATACTGAGATTAAATTACACACAGGTGGACCCTATTTACTAGTTAGGTGACTTCTGAAGGCAATTGGTTCCATTAGATTTTAGTTAGGGGTATCAGAGTAAAGAGGGCTGAATACAAATACACGCCACACTTATTTCACATATGTAATTGTAAAAAATTTTGAAAACCATTTATCATTTTCTTTCCACTTCACAGTTATGTGCCATTTTGTGTTAGTCCATCATAAAATCCCAATAAAATACATTTACGTTTTTGGTTGCAACATGACAAAATGTGGAAAATGTTAAGGGGTGTGAATACTTTTTCAAGGCACTGTACATAAAAGCTCACCTGCTGGACTCTTCCTCTTATATGACATTCTCTGGGCATTAATCTGCTTAGTCACGGTTAACAATAAGATGGCTTGAGGTAGAATTATTTAAAAGAAACTCGCACTGCCCATTTAGGTACATTTTTCTTTTTGTATTGGTTTTCAAAAAAGTGATATGGGTAAATGTTACATGACATTGCTTGTATTATAAAAAGCAGCGAATATAAAAAAGGAAAAGAAAAAAGAAAAAGGGATGGGGGGCTGTAGAGGTGACCGATTGCGGTTTTTAGGCATATAAATGTCATGATGGGCAGCACAGTAGCTAAATGGTTAGCACTTCCGCCTGGTGGTACTCGGGTCGTTGGTTTGAATCCCAGCCAGGGCACCTCCTGCCTTGAGTTTGCATGTTCTCCCTGTGCCTGCGTGGGTATCCTCCGAGTACTCCGGTTTCCTCCCACACTCCAAAGACATGCTGGTAGGTTAATTGGATCCTGTCTAAATTGTCCCTAGTATGTGTATATATGAATGTGATTTAGGGACCTTAGATTGTACACCCCTTGAGGGTTAGGGACTGATGTGAATGTACAATATATATGTAAAGTGCTGTGTAAATTGACGGCGCTATACAAGTACCTGAAATAAATGTTGACAGCAAGAGGTAACTATTTATTATTATTATTATACAGAATTTATAAAGTGCCAATAGTTTGCTCAGCGCTGTACATTACAAAGGGGGACAGAACATGTGACAGAACATACCAATACAATGCAAAACATGAGGGGATTGAGGGCCCTGCTCTTTGGAGCTTACAATCTAGGAGGGAGGGGATGGTGGTACAGGAGGAGATAGCTGTGGGGGATGGAGTGGTAGGAAGAGTGGAGGAGGTCGGCAAGTTAGCAGGGGGTGGGGTAGGCTTCCCTGAAGAGATGGGTTTTCAGGGTGCACCTAAAGGAGAGGAGAGTAGGTGATAATCTGATGGGTTGGGGCAGGGAGTTCCAGAGGATGGGTGACACCCTGGAGAAGTCCTGGAGACGGGCATGGGAGGAGGAGACCAGGGAACTAGAGAGAAGGAGGTCTTGTGAGGAGCGGAGTGTGCGTGCTGGGCAGTACTTGGATATTAGGTTACCTCTGGTTATTTAACAACCTCCTCTCTCCCTTCCGGTGATGCAGCGGTTATGTCCCTCGCCAGCTGCTGTCATCCCCCTCCTCCTGGTGCTGAATTTTTGGCCTGTTGATTGGCTGGCAGGGGACGATGTTATCTCACGCATGTGCACATGCGTCAGTCGTTCCAGCCCAGCCAAAGTGTGCCAGCAATGCATGCTGAACTGCACATGTGCAGCTCAATGTACATTTGGTAGAAAGCTGCAAGCAGGCAGGTAAAGTATTGTTGCAGAAGAAACATAACATGTCTCATCTGCTATAAAATGTTTTTTAAAATAGTTAGGTTTAGTTCCACTTTAAGATGTCAAGAGGTTTTGGAATACCTGGGAGGATCTGAACATGGCCCAGTCTGACCATGGTCCTTCCTACCTGAATCTCTTGCCATCAGGCTCTCTGTATTCATGATTGCGGCCAAGAAACCCCCTGGTGTTATAATGGCTGCTTCCCAGTGTCTGAATATTGTGGCTCGAGCTGCTTCTAGACAGTGTCAGGTTAATTGGCTCCTGTCTAAATTGGCCCTTGTATATGAATGTGAGTTAGGGACCTTAGATTGTACACCCCTTGAGGGTTAGGGACTGATGTGAATGTACAATATATATGTAAAGTGCTGCGTAAATTGACGGCGCTGTATAAGTACCTGAAATAAATAAATAAGACGCCTCTTTATGGATGGCAAAGAGCCCGGGAGCACAAAGAGAAAAGCTACTTCTGGTGTGCCTTTAATCTATGGATTGTATTATATACCTGGAAGACTCAATGTCAAACTGATTCTTTTGCAGCTCCACCAGATATAGGAATCCCCCTTTAAAACATCACTAGAAGATCATTTTAAAAGGGTTGCAAAATGAACTGAGATTTGCATCTTCAGACGAGGCTGGACGATGCATCTTGGGCCCTTTCACACGAGAAGTCAGAGTGGGTCCAGCTGTCTGTTTTTCCAGCCAGACCCAACTGGAGCCCCCATTCTCCTCTATAGGCAGTCAGATGTAGATGGACTTGTGTCTGTTTACACTCGGCTACCTCCGAGTCTGATCCGATCCGACATTTAAAAAAAACAAAAACAAACTAAAAACCTAAGGGGATCTGTTCCCCTACATCTGGCTAGATCAAATGGCAGTCGGGTGGAAACGGACAGCTGGTCCAATGACATCTGGCTGCCCATAGAGCAGAGCGGGCTGTGTCCGTGTATGCATAAGAGGAGCGGACCTGTCACCTGACCGCTCCGCTTAACTCAGCAGATCAGAGCATAGATCTCCTGCTGAGCAAACCCGGATTCACCCTGTGTGAAAGGGGCCTTGGAATTCTCTGTCCCTAACTGGGCCAGGAACCCCCAGTTTCACACACACATTAATAGTTAGCTTGGGTGTCTTTCTTTTGTTCAGATTTTGCTTTCAGAGACTGAAGCTCACAAAGAGACTAGAAAATTCCTGTGCATTTGTGCAGCCCATGGCACACTACTACTACTGAAATATGAAAGCTCAATAGAGGAAAAAAGGTGTTTGCAATATTTTTCATCTGTCTGAACTGTGATGTTCACTTTTTCAGCAATTGTTTGATGTAGGAGGTTGTAATAATCAATCAAATCAATTATGAACAGTGAATAAGAGAAGAGAGACACCCCTAGCACCTTTGCTCACATACTATTACAGCAAGTTGTGCCAAAGATCCAAGTAGCCTCCCTAGCGGTCTGATTATGTCTTTATTTCTGTGCTCAAAGCGGTACTTTTTTTTGCATGGAAATATGTAGTTTTTTTTATTGTAGG